TACTCACACAAGCACGCACACTTCTATGTGTAGATATATAAATCTATATAGATAGACTCATACATGCATACAATACTCATGCATGTACCCTCACATATATATAAGAGGATTAGTCCTATCCATAATAAGGTGTGGGGATACCTCGTGGGAAAACCCAAAAAACAAAACGAAAAAAGGCAATATGTTTTTTCTGTTTAGTTGCGATATGCACCAACAATGTTCTCTCCAACCAAGGACTCCTTTCCCACCCCATTATGCACTTGAGACCACAACTTGATGTTCTGATCTATTGACATTCATGTGCATTCTCCTTCTGGAATTGATACGTAGATTTCCTACTTGATACGTCGAGCATCTCAAGATTTATCATTTGATGGCCTTAGTAAAATCTATTCCGATTTGTTAATCATGAATATGAGCCTTTAGTACTCTATCAGTAAGTTTTGCTTGTATGTTCTAAATTTAATAGACGTAGGTAACATTGAGTATAAAGTTTTCATAGTCAACTCCTAAGAGAGTTTTTCCACCCCTATATTCAACAATTTTCTTTAGCTTAATACGATAGCACATGATATTGGTTTTTGGTTTGTGCATGTGTATGTGCTTATACATTATGCTTAACCAGTGAACTGCATAGGTTTTATCGTCATGCTTGTATATATTTTGGCAGTTTTATTGTAACTAGCATTTTGTGCCAATTGGGTGATTTGTATCTCCAACATCTTGTTATGTGTAGCTAGGGAATCCATCTTAGAGGCCAATTGTTTTACTATTTCATTCGTGATTTGTTGTTATTGCTTAAACTCTTCATTCAATCTCGATTGAGTCGTCACAAACTTTTCCATCATATTTTCCAAATTAGATCTTTGAGAAGGGACATTGGATCGAGGAGCACGAAAACCAGGAGGAGCAAAATTAGATGCGGGCATGGGATTTTCGGGTGGGTTTCTATAAGATAAATTAGGATGATTCCTCCACCCAGGATTATTAGTGTTGGAGAATGAGTCTCCCTTCTGATTAAAGTTATTAACATAGTTAACCTATTTATTACCATAAGTATCAAATGATGGAGGGTTTCCTAATGGACATTCAAGTGCAGAATGACCCACATAACCACATATTTCACATGCCATTGAAGTAGACGCCACAGAACTAAACTCAAGCTTTTAACTTTTTTAAACAAAGTATCAACCTTAGAGGATATATGATCTAAAGCATCTATTTCATACTTTCCTCCTTTTAATGTCAAAGCACGCTCGTTCGCCCATTGATAATGATTCTGAGCCATGTCTTCAATTGAGAGTGTATGCCTCATCTATTGTTTTGTTCATCAAAGCTCCTCCTGCAGCAACATCAACAGTCATTCAAGTGTTGTAAGTGAGTCCGTTGTAGAAGATGTGAACAATTAACCACTTCTCCAGGTCATGGTGAGGGTACATCCTCAATAATTCATTGTAGCGCTCTCAAGCTTCATAAAGTGACTCTCCTTCCTTCTTTACAAAGCTTGTGATCTGGTTCATCATCTGTGCTGTTTTACTTGGGGGAAAATGCTTTGCAAGAAACGCCCTGGATAACTGATCCTAAGTGGTAATGGACCCAGCTGGCAATGAATGCAACTAAGCCCTAGCCTTGTCCTTTAAAGAGAATGGAAATAGTCTGAGTCGAATAGCATCATTGGTCACTCCATTAAGCTTCAAAGTGTCGCAATACTCCAAGAAAATCGGTAGGTGGAGGTTCGGGTTTTCAGTTGAACCTCCTCCAAACTGATTCTGCTAAACCATTGAGAGTTGTGATGGTTTTAGCTCAAAGTTATTAGCTTCAACGGTGGGCCTTGTAATACTCGAGTCTGTGCTTTGAGCATTTGGGGCAGCGAAATCCTTAAGAAGTTGATTCTGATTACCCATCGTAGCTTGTTTTGTGTTTCTTTGCTCCCTTATATATCTTCTTCTGTTTGCAAGAGTCATTGATAGTTCAGGATTGTTTTCGTTGTGCACTTCTGTTTGATGCCCTTGCATAAAAGAAAGTGAGTAGCAAAGAGAATATAAAAAAAATCTAGTCTAGCTTAATAACGTAAGCATTCAATATTAACACCGTAGTCCCCAACAACGGCGCCAAAAACTTGATAGGCAAATCCGAAAGCGCACGGACTCGTTGTAGCTATCAAGGTCGATCCCACAGGGACTAAGGGTTAATTACCAAATTTTCACGTTTTCAGCTAGCTAAATCGATGAATAAAATAGAAGAGATTAAATTGCGAGATTAAACAATAGAAATAAAATAAACAGCTAATCAAGTGGAATTCAATATAATGAAGAGCTAGGATTGAGTTTTCACCACAACTTCGATGCTCAATGATGAATTATTTCAGTTCTCGGTATTGGTTTAAACTAAAAAGGGTGAATTAGCCTAAATTAATCTAAAGTCTCTTTCAAGGTCTAAAGATCGTACCTAATTAATCTTAATTAACCTACTTTCGTGGAATCAAGATTAAATTAAACCTATTAAGTTTTATGCTAATCCAAATCAAATCTCCAAGGAATCTAGCCTACTTTCGTGGTTCGAAATCTCTGCTTAATTTCTCGAGGTCCGGTATTAATTTTTACCTTTCAATCTTTTAATTAATTACCTATAATTGCTAATCCGGTGATCAATCGAATCAACAAAATTAATTCACAAGAAATTAAGTTTAAAGATTTAAACTTTTACCAAGAACCTATATTAATTCATCATCAATTACCAAAAAGTTAGGTTCTTTCCGAATCCTAGACAAAGAATCTACTCACACACGATTGGGATAAGAGAATACATCAAATAAATTTGCAAATCAATCACAAGAAGAAATTAATTAAAGAGAGGAAAGAATTAACCCGTCTTTGTGCTTGTTCGTATAGTCTTTGGTATTTTGGTTATAACTTCTTCGCCCGACCTCGGAATGAAGTGATTCAAGTTGCGTTGGAAAGCTGTTGAAGAGATCTACAACTTTTATCTTTTGAGCTTTTCCGGATTCGAATTGCATCATGGTTGAAATTCCAGTTCTTCATACTCGTGCATCCATTTCCTTCTTCAAACTCTTGTTTAACTTCCAACGATCATCGAATCATTCAATCTTGAGCCAATACCTGCATATAAGAACACAAACCATAACAGTATCCTCGATTTAAACACGAAATATGCATCAAACACTCATAATTCATGCTTGAAACACACTAAGATAATGCATATTTTACGTGTTTATCATTACATTTGATGATTTAATTAATTAAATTGGGTTGCATATTTATTTGAGTGCAATATAGTGATTTGAGTGAATTTTGAAGGATATTTTGAGAAATCAAAAGTTTTGACACTCATTTTCCCTTTTATAAATAGTATAGATATAGATATAGATGAGATCTATAAAGCATCAGATTCTTTATGTTTTTATTCTTACATGATTGTAGGATGGAAAGGCCCTGAAAGTATTGGCAACTGCTGCAAGGCTCGACATTGAAGATTTTCTGCAGAAAAAGGTCTACCTTGAGGTTTGCACAAAACCATACGCTACACTTTAACTATTAGATTTCATGTTTTTTTTTTTCCTTTTTTCTCCTTTTTTCATTTAACTCTATTAACAGCGCTGTAATTTCTATTTACAGGTAGAAGTGAAAGTGAAAGAAAACTGGCGGCAGGACGAAGGCCTTTTGAAGCACTATGGTTACAGTGGTCAAATTCGAGCTATCTTTTGAAATCCATCTGTTCATGTACTGACACATTAATCTCATCAATTGTAGCAGTATGAAATGTCGTTTTGATTTCATTTATTAGAACAGCTTGTAGAAAATTTCGAATGTTTCTGGAGAGCAAATTCTATGGAGTTCATGCAGTCAGCAATGTTGGCTTTGTTTGGACGATAGTTGTCGAGCTAGATTGCTGGAGCGAGAGCTCACATGTATTTTTTTATTGTTATAGAAAAACATGTGAATTATAGATGAGTAATATTTATAGCAAAGTGAGGTTTGAATCCTCAGAATTTAAAGTTGAAGGCAGTTTATGCTGGAATGTAAGCCCCAAACCTAATCTGTTTAAGCTATATATCTAGTGTTTGAGAACGTAATTAATGATTCTGAATCCAATGCATTAATAGTCTACCAACGTTAAGATCTCGTTTTCAAAGATTAAAAGCAATCATTAATTAAGAAAGATAAGTCTGTCAATTCATAAAAGAATAGAAGCAATCATTAATTAAGAAAGATAAGTCTGTCAATTCATAAAAGAATAGATGATCTGATAATTTGGTCAGGGGTGCAGATGGATTCGAGCATGAATGGAATATAATGCTTGTTATATTTGTATCGGTTAAATGACCAAATTTATATATTTTGTAGAGGCTTGGTGACATGTTGGTATATTTTCTTTTAGTTTTGTCATATTGGTATATTTTGTCGACTCTGACGTCATATATGCCTTAAATTTGGCCGGAGTCAATTTTTCGGCCATTATTCTCACGCGACAGCTCACGTGACTCTGACGTGGCCTTGACGTGGACTCCAGCGTGGCTATATTTAGGGGAATAAGCAAGCGGTTTCTCTAGAAGATCACAGAAGAGAAGTAATTTCCTCCCATTCTTTAATTTCCATCTCTTCCCCAAATTGCAGAAGATCCCCAAATTGTAGACGACCACTAGAGCGTGACGATCCCCAAATTGCAGACGATCCAAGTTCAAGGCTTCCATCTACTTCATCGTCTTTGGCGCGGAGCAAAAGGTGAGTGCAAATTTCATATTTTTGAAACTAATTAGGGTAGATTTGATGGGTTTAGTGTAAATTAGGGTTTTTATTGTGATATTGGAGATGTGTCTCCAAATCTTGGTTAAAATCAGACATGGAGGAAGTTTCCCGATGGGCTCGGTTGAAAATTATGTTGGTGGTAGATTTGATGTTAGGTTTATAGACAAAGAGGATCTGAGCATAGAAAGACTGATTGATGAAATTAGTGCAATTGGGTATAACAATGTCAACGGCTTGTTGTACTGTGTTCCTGGTGCATGGGTTGCAAATGGTGGATTGAGGTCTCTAAATGATGAAGGTTCCTTAATTGAAATGCTAGAACATGCAGAAAGGGTGAAGGCAATTGAAATCTATGTTGATCATACTATTGATGAACCTGTAGAAGTTATTATGGAAGATTGTGATGTGCTGTTGTTGGAAGGTGAGAGTCAACCAATTTCTGAATCACAAGCTCAACCAGTTGAAGCACAAGAAGATATGCAAATGCCACAAGCGGCCACTCCTAAAAAGAAGAGGACAATAGCAGGACCCAGGAGATCAACACCCAGGAAAGCCACTGCTAATGCCAATGAGAAATGAACATCCAAGAAAGCAACACCCAAGAGGAAGGTAACATATCCTTCAATCTCCAGGAAGAAACTAACGCCCAGGAGGGCAACCAAGCTGTCAACCTCTAGTGAAACCCTGCTACAACAAGTAGCAACTGCCTCAGCCTCTTTAGATGAACCGTTAAGTGCACAACAGCAATCAAGTCCATCTAGTGATAGTGACGACTCTGTGGAGGATGAGAATTACAGAATTGATCCCAGGGAGGCATTTGTAGATGATTAATTTGATGAAGATGAACTATTTGATGAGTTTAGCAATAATGGCAAGGGAAAAAAAGAAGAATGTGCAAGAGAAAGAAGATGACGGTGCCTACAGTGAATGTGGAGGGCAATGAGAGTGTGCCTGAACCAAATAATGAACCTAGGGAGGCAGTGAATGTGAAGGGAAATGAGAGTGTGTCTGATCCAGGCTAGGAAGATAGGGAGGCAGTGAATGAGGTTGACGGTGCCCACAGTGATGATTCCTTTCAAGCTGCTATATGTAGTGAAGATGAGGAACTGAATGAGATTAGGCAATACAATAAGGAGATTCTAAGTCAAGAGATTGGCAACATTGCTTTAAACTCTGGTGCAGTACTGTGAGAGGGTGTTGATGCAGGTAACTCCATTTAATTTAACACTATCAGACCCCCTCGAGTGGTTAATGCTAATGTACCAACATCACCTCATGAAAGAGTGCATTCAAGAGCTGACAACACAGTTGATGAACCCGGGCCATCAACCATTGAACCACAACAACAGTCATAGCCAGATTTTTGTACAAATTATGATGGTGGATATGAATTAGATCTTAGATCAAGTGGTGATGAAGGTCCCATAATGGCAAGTTATGAGGATGAAACTCTTGTCCAAAGTTTACAAACAAAGTAGCAAAGGTCAAGTATCCATTTTTTAATAAAGAAGTTGAGATGAAAAATGTTAAATTGATAGTAGGATTGAAGTTCACGTCAAGGAAAATATTAAAAGAAGCAATATTGAATTACTCCATACAAGAACACTATGACATTGTTTATGGAAAAAATGATAAGAGGTAGTTGAATGTGAATTGCGCACTCTGTCATTGGCAGCTAAATGCTACACCATGTCGTGATGATGCTAGTGCTTGGAAAATCAATAGTATGCACCCTTATCATACTTGTAGCAGGACATTCAAGAATAGGTTAGTTACTAAAGGTTGGTTGCAGGAAAATTTATTGATAACTTTTTGAGGGATCCTAAGTTCAAGCCCAAAGACATGAAAGCAGAAATGCAAAAACAATATGAGATCGAGACATGAAAGCAGAAATGCAAAAACAATATGAGATCATAGTGGATTTAAGGAAATGTAGGAGGGCAAAGAGTAGGGCTTTGAATGCAGTAGATGGTTTGTTTAAGAAGCAATATGGCTTGTTAAAGCCATACATGAGAGAGCTCTTAAGGAGTACTGATGGAAGTACATGCATTCTGAAGGTCACAGATCAAAGTTACTCATCAGAATCAGGGGTCTTTCAAAGATTCTATGTGTGCTTTACAGGTAAAGTTCAAGTGTTTGTTAAAAAATTTTGAAGTTTTATCGAAGCTTGTATGTGCATGTTTTTTAGGCCATACTGAATTCATTCCTATGTTCTCAGCCATGAAAAGGGGGTTCACCAATAATTGTAGACCTATATTTGGACTTGATGGGTGCTTTCTTAAACATGCATGTGGTGGGAAATTGTTAAGTGCCGTGGGGAGAGACGACAATAATCAGATGTGGCGAATTGCGTGGGTTGTTGTGGAGGGTGAAACCAAGAGCTCTTGGGAATAGTTTATGAGAATCTTATCTAGTGATCTCAACATGAGAGAGGGAGAGGGATGGACAGTAATTTCAGACCAACAAAAGGTAATGATCAATTTCATGTCATATTCAATTTAATCTCTATCTAGGCTACATGTTTACATATCTGGGCATGTTTTTTTTGTTTAACTAGGGTTTAGTTCTAGCTATACATGAAGTTTGGCCCCAAGTGGAGCATAGGCAATGTGCAAGACACATTTATTCTAATTGGAGGAAAGCACATACTAGAAGAACTCTTTAAAAATAATTTTGGTATTGTATGAAGGCAACCTCCATGGGGGATTTTGCAAGAGAGGCTGCCAAACTCAAGGATTACTCTCAAAGGGCATACGACGACTTCATGGCAAGGGATCCTCACACCTTTTGTAAGTCCCATTTTAAATGTCATAGCCAATGTGACAATGTTGACAACAATATGTCTGAAACCTTCAACTCATTCATCCTTCTTGCAAGATACAAGCCAATAATTTCTATGCTAGAAGACATTAGACCTTCAACTCATTCATCCTTCTTGCAAGATACAAGCCAATAATTTCTATGCTAGAAGACATTAGACTTGTCATGATGGATAGGATGCAGTTAAAGGGGAAGTTGATTACGCAATTTGTGGGTGGGATTGCCCCTAGAATAAGCAAGAAAATCAAAGAGGGATATCAAGAACAATTGCATTGTCAAACACGTTGGTCGGGAACAAATGACTATAGTGGATTTGAAATACATCACATATGTATTGGCCATGAGGTTAACTTGGGTAAAAAAGCCTATTCTTGTAGGGTTTGGGACTTGACTGGAATTCCATGTCCCCATGCCATTAGTGCAATAATGTTCATAAGAAAGAATCCAGGAGATTTTGTTACTCATTGGTACAAAAGTGAAGCTTATAAAAATACTTATGAGATCTTTGTTCGCGGGAAAAATCGTTGCTTTCTTCATTGATTCCATTGCTATCTTGAATAACAGTTTTTCGGTTACAAAAGATCCGGTCTTTTTTAGATCCGGTTACAATGAAAATCAAAGAAAATAAAAGAAAGATTACAACTTTTTTATCCTTGTTTGTCGAACAAATCGCGAGCTCCTGTTTTGCGGTCGCTCGCTTTGGTGGGTTGTTTGCCTGCGCCGGGGTTTAATCCACCAAGGGAATAATCGCTCAGATCTCGAGATCTAAGACCAAGCTTAGATCTGGAGTGTAGTCTCGTGTAGATCTCAGATCTGTTCTTTCTTCCTCTCGAGATCCTGCCTTTTCTGACGTGGATGGTCGCCGAGGATCAGATCTGAATGTGCAAGTCTTCTGGTCTTCAAGCTCCGAGTTCACTCTTCAATCCGGCAGAGTTTCGGCTCTTGAAAGTTCGACCTCCGAAAATGAACATCTCTAGGCCTATTTATAGGCTCTCAGGACAGTGGCTGCAAAAAGGGAAATGTCGGCCACCTCTGGCCACTGTCGGCCACCTCGGGCCACTGTCGGCCACCTCGGGGTGGCCGACACTGTGCCTAGCCACCTTGGGGTGGCTCGGCTCATGGCCGAACCACCCCAAGGTGGCTCGGCCACCGAGCCACCCCGAGGTGGCTCGGCCGCCGAGCCACCCCAAGGTGGCTCGGCATTGGCCGAGCCACCTTGAGGTGGCTTGGCTTTGGCCGAGCCCCCGCGGGCGGTGTTTTCCGACTTTTTCGAGTCGTTTTCCGTTGTTTCCGGTTCTGTCCGTGATTCGGTTGATTGAGACTCTGATTGGTTGATCTGATTTGGCAGTAAGTTGGATTCCTGATTTGGCAGTAAATCCGCTTCTGAGTTCGAGTCCGAAATTGATCTTGATTCGATCGTGATTCGTCCGAGTCC